CCTCTGGAGGGATAGATTGTGCTATCCTTGGAGAGGGGTCTGGCTTTGAAAGAAACAGCAAGGTTTTAGCAGATAGCCTCCTACAGTGGTCCACGACCAGCAGGCTGAGTGCCACCTGTAATTGAGGGCTGCCCATCTGGGTTTTGCTTTATGCTTTACCAACATGTCTTCTCATCCATTAATTTTTGCATTATGGAACTTCAGAGTAGAAAGAGGCCTTCAGATGATGTCATCCATCCCCAATTTTAGAAATGAGGACACTAAGACCCACTAAGGAAAGTGACTTGCCTAATAGCACGCAAGTGGGAGTGGGGAAAAGGACTTTGCTTTTAGCTTTCAAGAGCAGTCACTGCTCACCTGGAGGGCTAGCGTCTGTTGCCACAGGTGCAGTCCTTTTGAGAATTCTAAAAGGAGGTGAGGCGTGGGGATGAAGGATCGTTTCCTCCTTACCCCAGCTAACATGCACGGATCACCACTATATTATTTTAAAGAATATGGTACACATTGATTGCTTGGTTAAGATTAAAACATAAATTTCCACTATTTCTAAGTATTTCAGTATTTTTTAAAGTCAGTGTCCTTGCAAACACAAACGTTTCGTTTCCCTGTTAGGATCTGTAATTCTTCACTCCCCTGACATGTATTGTTGTCATCTTTTTACTAACAGTGGGTTATTTTTCCAGAAAAGGGGCTTTAAATCACTCTTCTCCAGAAAAATAATGAAATAATGAAGTGGTCCTTTCTTCCACTGTTATATCAAAATGGCAACATATACTTTCGGTTTTCTAAAATGATTTACAAGAAACAGGAAACACATTAACAACTATATTGAACGTGATGTAGTATAATGTGCCATAAAAAACTATCTCACTTCCGTATAGCACCCATTGCATTATCTTTAAAGCTTAGACTAAAAGACCCAGAACTAAAGATTCATCTGCAGGCTTATACAGTCAGCTTCTCCAGGGAGATTTTCACTGGCATTTGTGAGAGTTTTGGAGGCAGTAGAACTCAGGGCTACTTTATGTCATTTTGAGCCACCATTCCATGCATACCTCTTTAGCTCATTTAAAAGTGTCCCTTCAGTAAATAAATGTAGGCCTTAAACTAGTGAGTAGCTGATTATTCTTTTGTCTCTAAAGTTTCTTTTCTGAGTTGTCATCTCAGCTGTTTCACCTTGTACCCCAGAGGCAACAAGAGGCTGGCAGCTGCTTTTAAAACACACAATTCCAACCCTAAGGAGCCTCTTTTTTCATGCTACCATAGTACCTTGAACAAGGTAAGGAATTCAAACACCTATTAAAAGAATAAACAATCGGTTTGTAATCATCAGTAAACTCTATTACCATGGATTTTTTATTATTTTTTTAAAAGATTTCCATTGGGGAATTGGGGGATGGGAACAGCGCCGGGGAACTGGGGGAAGGGGAACAGACAAGCTGCTGTCATCCTGCCCTTCGGTCCAGTTGTGGAGGACGCCGCCCCACCGGCCCAAGTTGGCACCATCACTGCACTTCTCCCAGGCGAGGCAGATCAGTCGCCCGCCTCCAGACGGCCGCTCAAGGCGGCCAGCGGCCACACAAGGTGGCCCATGGCAACCCACTGCAGCAGGGGCCGCAGCCTACGCCGTCGCCAGAGACTCACGGCAGCCCAGTTCCAGGTCGAGCCACTGCCCAGCATCCCAGCTGCAGTGGGCAGTGTCACCGGCCTTCATATATGGGATCCCAACTGGGGCCCTCCGGCGTCCCAAGCCAGCTCCCAACCAACGCGCCACTCGGCCGGCCCAAGTACCATGGATTTTAAATGAGAATGACCCCTATTCCCTCTGAAGCCAAGGAAACTCATTTACTGAGCACTTAATATATGCCAGCAGTTTCTCCCATCTTATTTAATTCTCATAATAATTCGGTGAAATATTTGGTATCCCTGCTATTCAAAATGAAAAAACAAGGTTCAGTGGTTAACCTGCCCAAACTCAAGCTACCAGTGAGGTGCAGAGCCAGAAACCACATCTTGGTCTACCTGGCTGCAAAGCCTGAGCTATTCCACTGCATTCTGCTCACTCTTCTTGAGGTTATAAATGGAGAGACTGTTGAATGAGAAGTTTCTCCATCCCCTAAGGAAACTGGGGGACGGAGTCTGTAAGAAACCTTAGGTTACTGACCTAAGGCCATGTGATCCATTCCATGCACGATTGTCAAGGGTATTCTGAATCTTTTAAGTACTAAGAAGCTGATTAAAGTTTACAACTAATTATGTAGGCTTTTTAATTAAATACCCAAAACATTTCTCAGTTGCAGGCAATCTAATCTACTTCAGACCCTACACCTATGTGAATTTGCAGGCTTACAGAATTTAAAATCCTAATTATCTAAAAAGATCTCCTCATTTCACAGACAAGTAAACCAGAAAGGTTAAATAACTTGTTTAGCAAATTTTATTTAGTTATTAGGTTCCAGATTTGGCTTTAGCCCACACTGAATGTGAAGAGTATCACATTTTGCAAATAAAATTAATTATATTTCATCCATACACAACTAGTTTGTATCAATACCAACATTTATCTGCCTCAAATACACAATTATAACTCAACAGAGACCATGTCTGATCTGATGTCTTAAAGCAGCTAGATCTATTTATACTAATGATTAATAAAAGCCATTTCTCTTTAATTTCCACAGAACTTTCAGATTGGGGCCAGCAGACTAGTTCATAACACTAGCTGAATGTTAGCATAGCAATGGCTTCCACTCAAGCAAAATTATCTCCAAAGTTTGGGGGTTGAAAGTTTGTTGCCCTTTCAGTCCACCCCCCCACCCTCCCCCCCAAAAACACTCAAAATGAAATAAGACTTTCTAAACATAAATTCAATAGTACTAGAATACTTAATTCTCTAATCTCAACTATTTTTCCATGTAACATTTTAAAATCTATATACCAATTGTCGTGTTTAAGATTCAGAGTTGGTACCCAACTAATAGATGTGTTTGAAACAGCAACCTATGATTTGTAGAATTTGGAGAATTCATAAAGAAGACCAAGGAGGAAAGGGTTAGTAGTGGAATCTGTTATGAAGACAGTAGACATGAATATAACCCTAAGTAATTTTAGCACAATCTCAATTATATGAAGTGATAATAGCAAGGAACATTATGCACTATAAACTCCTGAATGCCAAGCAAAAAGGAAATGGTGATAGCCCTAAAATGAAGCACAAGAAAAAACGTCCAACTAGTGGGGTCGCAGGATGCTCTACCCAGGATTCTTCTCCAGATTTTCTAAAATAGAGAAGCTTTTGTGTTTTGGGTGGGGGGTGGTCAGAGTATGGAGACATTATAAGATACCCAGAATACGTGAACACTTGTGAAAACTCATGGCCCTTCCTTCACTCTAGGATACTGCAGCGTAGTTATTTTGCTGAAGGAAGGGGCGAGGAAAATCAGAGTCCTTCCATTAAGGAAGAATCCATTCATCCTGACTCATGCCATGACCATGATTCCAAAAGACCACCCAGACTTTTTACCAAGTGAGCAGGCTGCTGGGGACAATCTCAAAAACGAAATTTGTAGAAAGTCAGGAAGAAATACAGCAATCTAGCAGATAAGCAAAATCATATCCAAATATACACTGTTTTTATCAGCTAACCTTTATGTCAACATGCCCAGCCCTCTTTATTTTCCTTATCACTAAGTAAAAAATGCCTAGGGTACCAGAAACTTTTTTGAAATTTTAAAAGAGGGGCAAGTGCCTACGTTTCTTTTTGGTCCTTATAACATGTGGCACATACGTCTGTTCTTAGATTAATATTACTGTGTGTTAAATAGGTGATAATGAACTCTAAGACAGGGGCTGCTGACTCTACGGACAACCGTGGCACCTTTGAAAGGCATTTATCTATAGTTAAGAGTTGGGCGTTTATGGTTTGAAATATAGCTTCTGATAATTTAGTTGTGTAATTTCTCCACCCTTCTAAAAATGAATGGATGCATAAAACAACTTCATCTGAAGTTTATAAAAATACAAATATTTCAGAATGTTAGAGCTGCACAAGGTCCCTAGTGATAATCGGGCTGAACTCCTGCCACCACGTTCTCATGAGGCAACTTCTTAAATAACAGATTCAAAACCTCACCTCAGGTCTTTGTCTATATTAGCAAGGCCGGAAATCTTCCCTCTTGACTCTTTGTACATGTCCCATATTTGGGCTGAGCTCCTGAAAGGGCTAGTTTACTTTGGCTAGAAACAGACTCTGCATATCTACTATCCATACTAGTCTTTTAAAATTATATACTATAAAAGCAGCATGTTACTCTTTGATTTAAAATGTCATACCAACAAACTTGTGATATATTGCAACCATTTTATTGATATGAAGCAGTGGGATAAACCTTTAACAGGAGTATTGATTCACTATCATGAATGTGTATCAATACTTTGGTGTGGTCTCATACTTGCTTCAGTCAAATTATGTGTGAATTACTTTCACTTGCACACGTATAAAACATTTACATTGCATTGTTTAAAAGAACAGCACACAGCTAGGCACCTCTTCTTTCTGCTTTAAATACATGTAAATGCACTCACATACAATGAATTTTTTGCCACTCATGGGCTTCATAATATATGAACAACTTTCCAGGACACTATTTCTGCTGTCATTTTTTTTTCTTTTTTTAATTGAAGTGGGGGGAAAAGCAATACTGTGGTACAAAAGACCTTTTTACAAGGTCTCTCTCTTCTGGAAAAACATTTGAAAATAGTTATATAGTCCTATAATGACTGTAATCAAGTTCATCCTACAAGGACATGAAGGTAGATTCACTCTCCTGGAGAGTTTCTGATCTTATCAAGAATATTATGACTGGGGAGAGAGATAAATAGGCATTCTAGCAGACAACTCTCCTAGAGAGATGTTTTGGACATATTTCAATCCTAGAATGACTATAATGAAGATGACATGATAGTGGAAATCATTTTGCTGAAGAAGTATGTGTCTAGAAAGACACTCAGAATAATGTAATTAAATGCTATTATAATTTTTTATGTTTTGTGAAAATATTAGAGGGCATGAAAGCAGAAAAATGTAGCACTATAACTAAGAATAAGGAAACAGTTGAAGAATAAACACTTAACATAAAAATTTTAAATGGTATCTAATAAATTTTCATGTCAAATCTTTTTAACTAAACATATAAAATTTTTAAATGGCAACTAATAAATCTTCATGTCAAATCTTTTAACAAAATCCACAAATCGATTATAAAAATTGAACAATCATAAATGTCTTATGTATAAAGTTTTAAGGTAAAGTTTAGATGTCTTCATTATTCTGTTTAATCAAATACTTGAGGAATTTTAGTTACCGCTGAGGAGCAGTTGATAACATTTCTAAAATAATTCCGTTATGAAAATAATATCACCATTAAGGTTTGGCATAGTAGCATTCCAGCAATCTTTAGTCATCCACAAATGTTAACCGTCTGGGCCCTTCATGCTTCATCCATCTCCTGTATCTCTTCCATCTAGCGTCATTGGCCAATTTTTTCTTTAGCTCTTCTTCTTGTTCTTGTTTGTAGACCTATAAGTATAAATAACACTAATTGACTTTATAATCCAAAGGGAAACATTTGTCATCAGCTTTATGGCATATTTACGTTTTTTCAAATACAAGTTTAGGTAAAAGTTTCCAATGAATGTATTGGTTTGTCTTCTGAAGACCATGCACTTAAAAATATTAAGCAATCAAGCACTTTAACATTCAGTATTAAATAAAAAAGAATTTGTACAAGGACAAGTAATTTTTTTTTTAATTGGGGAATTGGGAAAGGGGAACAGTATCGGGGAATTGGGGAACGGGAGCAGCCAAGTTGTTGTTCTTCATTCTTCGTTGTGGAGGGCGCCAGTCGCCATCTGGCTGCCCATCAGCAGCTCGTGGCCTCTAAGCTCAAGGTGCTATGTTACAATCTTAGTTGTGGGTGGGTGTAGCCACCATCCCATGCAGGAGTCGAACTGATAGCCTTGTTTTTAACAGCGCACGCTCTATCCACTGAGCAATCCGGGTGACAGCTCAGCTCAAGGTGCCAAGTTCAGTCTTAGTTGCGGGTGGTAGCCCACCATCAAACAGGCAGTCTTGTTGTTAGCAGAACGTGCTTTCACCAGCTGAGCCATCCTGCCACCTGTTGGCAGCTCAGCTCGGGTGCAGCATCACTGGCCCAATGTGGGAATCAAACCGGCAGCCCTGTTGCTCAGAGCTCACGCTCTTAAGCTAACTCTTAACCAACTGAGCCACTCGGCCAGCCCCTAGGACTAGTAATTTTTTGTCACCGATTTCTGTAACCTGGAAATACATTATTTTACTTGTTGAAATATATAAGCTAAGTTTAAAGGGTTTAAACATTTCCTTTCTAGGGCCGGCCGAGTGGCGCGTTGGTTAAGAGCTGGCTTGGGATGCCAGAGGGCCCCGGTTCGGATCCCACATATGAAGGCCAGTGACACCGCCCTCTACAGCTAAGATGCTGAACAACAGCTCAACCTGGAGCTGGGCTGCCGTGAGTCGCCAGCGATGGCAGGTGGGTTGCCATGGGCTACCATGTGTAGCCAGCAGCCAGCGTGAGCGGCCAGCAGCTGCTGTGAGCGGCAATCCATAAGCCTGCGACTGATCTGCCTCACCAGGGAAGACCGCAATGATGGTATCAACTTGGGCCAGTGAAGCAATGTCCTTCACAACTAGACTGAAGAATAAAAGGATAGCAACTTGTCTGTTCCCCTTCCCCCAATTCCCCAGCACTGTTCCCATCCCCCAAGTCCCCAATAAAAATCTTTAAATAAAAACCAAACATTTCCTTTCTACAATTAACATCCAATATTAAAGAATCACACTTTATTTTTACTCTATAAATTTAACTGACGACTTTCAGTATTTGTTGATCCTCACCAAGAAACAAAAGGACACTAGGTATTATTTGTCTCCAAATTGAACTTACATCTTTTATTTTTAAAGATAATTATTGGTTTTTCAAAATATTTTATTAAAGTTCCCAAAGAAGGTTAAATAAACCACACAGGTTAAGAACAAAGAGCAGCTGCATTTCTGTAACTTACAGTGGATGTCAGACTGAAGCTAAATGGACAAGTTTTCATAACCAGATTCAGTGACATCAAATTTTAGAAAGAAATGTTTTTATTCTAAATTTTAGGAACAAATCACTAAGTTAACCTCATATAGTAACATATAATTCAGCCCAGAATAGTATTCTATGAAAGACAGAGTTTGTGGATTAGGTTGCTTAACCTACTTTAAAAAGAAAACTTTTCAAATGATTTAGGAGCACAATGGTATGTTACCTTCTATTTTTATGTTATTCATAAGCAGACTGAATATAATTACTTGCCAAAACATTCTGGCAATTCATAGTAAGTTAAGTTACTTAAATATAATTCAGATGGAAACTACTTTTAGTAAAATCTATTTAAGACACTACATATAAAAAAGGAATGCCGGGCCGGCCGAGTGGCTCAGCTGGTTAAGAGCTCGCTTGGGAGCACCAGCTCTGAGCAGCAGAGCTGCGGTTTGGATCCCACATTGAGGGCCAGTGACGCTGTGCCCTCTACAGCTAAGATGATGAACAACAGCTCGACCTGGAGCTGGGCTGCTGTGAGACGCCGTCAACGGCGTAGGCTGCAGCAGGGCTGCAGTGGGCTGCTGTGAGCTACATGAGTGGCTGGCAGCCAGAGTGAGCGGCTGGTAGCCGGTCTGACCTACTGGGAGCCACTGGGAGCGGCCAACCAATGACCAGCGACTGATCTGCCTCACCCGGGAAGAGCACAATGATCATACCAACATGGGCCAGTGAAGCGACGTCCTCCACAACTAGACTGAAGAACAAAACAGCAATTTGTCTACCTGTCTGTTCCCCTTCCCCGATTCCCCAACGCTGTTACCCTCCCCCCAATTCCCCAATAAAAAAATCTTAAAAAAAAAAAAAAAAGGAATGCCTATGAAACTAAAAAAAAACAACAAAAACACAAGGTGTGCTTAAACAATACGGTGAATGTTTAAATAAATTTATTATAGTAAAAGACACATTGCCATTAATCCTTCTCAAAATACTCCCCTTCACTTTGAACACACTCATCCCATCCTTCTTGCCACTTTCTGAATCAGTTCTGGACACTCTTTCATGAGTGTCTTTAGTTGCGCCTTCGTGGCTGCCTCAATATCCTAAATCATTTTGACTTTGGGGAAGAGCCAGAAGTTGCACAGTGCCAGATCCGGTGAATAAGGTGAATGAGGACACACCGTAATTTTTATTTGACAGTAGTTGCGTCTATACCAGAAGCGATGTGTGACACAGAGCGCTGTCATGATTTATGACACCCTATAAAACACATCTTCTCTCAACTGTAACTCACACCCGACTGCATCGAACAAGTTGAAACTTGTCACACACTGTTACTAAGGTTGGATGTGCCGATTCCCGTATTGAAGATCCCTGCCTTTCGTCGGATGGCACTCAGCAGCAGTATTCACTGTATTTGTTGATCACAATGGAAAGGCTCTGTGTTATACATCACTTCTAGTATGGCAATTTCTGTCAAATGGTAACATTATGGTGTGTCCTTATCCACCTTATTCACCAGATCTGGCACCAAAATCAAAGTCAAAATGACCAGGAAAGGTAAATGCTTTGAATCAACTCAGGACATCGAGGCAGCCACGACAGCGCGACTAAAGAAACTCAAAGAGGTCTTCCAGAACTGCTTCAGAAAGTGGCAAGAATGATGGGATAAGTATGTTCAAAGCAAGAGGGAGTATTTTGAGAAGAATTAATGGCAATGTATCTTTTACTATAATAATTATTTTTTAATGTAAACATTCACCATATTTTTTCATCACACCTCATATATCTCAGATTTCTTAAGGTTTCGCTGTTCTTTATTCTTACATTTAATATATTAACCAATTAATTTTACTCAAAACCTAAGACATTATGGTGAGATTACTAGTTCTTTTAAGGGACTTTAGCTAGGCAGCTGATCACCTCAAAGTAATTGTAGGTGACAACTGTAGAATATAGTATTTATTAAAAGTTTAGTAAGTCAATTTAATTTAAAAATAAAAGTAACGGGCCGGCCGAGTGGCGCGATGGTTAAGAACTCGCTTGGGATGCCAGAGGGCCCCGGTTCGGATCCCACATATGA